AGATGACTTTCAAAGAAGTGAAGAAAGAGAATGGTAAAATATTTAGTAATATAAAATATTTTATATATATGTGTATGTAGTAGCCGAAATTCGAAAAAATGCTATATGAAGAAGCAAGATAAAGTAAAAAGAGCGTAAATCGAGGTGGATTGTAAAGCCCTATGGAGATTGCAGACATTGCGGTATTATTTCAAAGTTGGGCTATGGAATGAAGAAAGAGGTGAGAAAGAAAGACAGACTATGTATAATGGGCTTAGTGGATATTCTACAAATTTGGGAACAATTAAGAAGTTTCCTAATAAAATGTGAGGAAATATAGGATAGTAACTATATATATATATATATATATATATATGTGTGTGTATAAAGCAAGAATTATAATAAATAACTTGAAGGCGTGGAAGTTAGCAGGCCATATGAAAGTGAAAGGGAAATTACAAAAACAAAATATAATGAACTACATAGTTCAAACTATCCCCTTGCAGGAGGGCGACAGGAAAGGACAGTTGCAGTTCCATGTTGAGGATTTGCCACGATAGGAACTGTATGAGGAAAGCTGATTGGCTGAGTTACAAGTAAGCCAGGCGGCAAGGGCATAATCTCTTGTTGGGAAGGTTGGCGACCAGAATAACAACTGACAAGGCTGGCTACACAGCCGGGCAAACGGGTAGACATGCCAGGACAGAGGTTGATGGGAGCTGATTCAGACCCAGCGGAGCAAGTGGAGCCAAGAGCTGGAGTAGCAAGAACGTAAGTAGCTGGGTTTTCTTGAGAAGTCTCGAAAGGACGACTTATGCAGATGGGTGTATCGACGGCGTTTGTAAAGAAAGCTGCACAAGGGGAAGAAAAAGCGGGACCAGGAATGGAAGGATGAGGATGAGACATGGCTAGTGGAGTTTGTTGAGGAACAAAATGACCAACTTCAGCCGCGTTGGGAGCGGATATGGACATAGTTGCTAACGGACTGAGAGAAAGTGCGATCTTTTCACCATGTTCAGCCCAATTTACAGATAGAT